AGGGAAATGGGCTTGGGATCTGTGATCGGAGTGGGAGAAGCCCTTAATGTGACACGATAAGATAGTGCTTCAAGAGTTTCGCGAATAAGAAGGTGTCGAGTTAGGGTGCCAAGGTTTCGCTAAAGAGGAGGCCCAATGTTTGTGGTCCTTGGTTTGAAACGGAGATTGTTGGTACAAACTAACGTCCCACATCAGAAGTTTAGAAGATAATTATCTAATATATAAGCAAAGTCCAACTCCAATTAGAATGAAATCTTTTGGGAAGGAGCCCAAAACAAATCCCTGCAGGCTTACACACTTGGGCCCAAAGCAGACAATATCATACTAATGGAAAATTGGAATGGGCTTAGAGAACCTAATAATATACATATGGTCGTAAATAATTCAATATAACTATAAAAGTATTAAAGTAGGGATTATTGTTTTTTCTACCACTTTTGAAATATTTTTTTTCAAATCTACCACAACTGAACTAACCTTTCTAAAATTACAATATTTCTATGATATTGTAGTATTTTATAGACGATTTTCTCCCGAAAAAGTGTGAAGTTTTGTATAAAAAAATAAGAGCTTTGTGTTAGAGAAGAAGGATAAAAGGGTTATATTAAATGCAGTTTACATTTATTACAACCAATAATTATGTAAATAGAGTGAATGAAGTCCTCCAAGAATAAGTCCAGATCTCTGGCGGGTAAAACCACACCATATGGCCATAGACAACCATCGTATCCAGTTGTTCTCGAATTTAACAAAGTGTTGATTATTTCATTAGTCTCATTCTCAAAATACAAGATTATATATTGGATGTAAAATTGTTGGCAAATTAGGATTATATAAAGAGTAACATAGTGAATGAAGTCCCCCAAAAGTAAATCAAAATCTCTGGCGAGTAAAACTAGTCCATCTGGCGATGAACAACCAGTAGATCCAGTTGTCCTCAAAGTTTAGATATAGTTGTCCCCGAAATAGATTGAGATTAATGCGGACAGTTAACGATCTATAGAGAAAACATGGGAAGCGAAAATGTACAGAAGTCAAATTGATGGCAGCGTTTGGGTGCACAAAAGAGAGAGAATTTTTTGTCTTTCCACGTAAAAAATGTGGTACATTTGAAAAGAACGAAGGAGAAGTGGTAGAAATGAAAAGATTTTTCGAATTATGAATAGAAATGATAATATTCCTTTTAAATATATTATGAACCAATTTTAATATATTTTCTACAAAAATTAAAATTTAAGCAACTAACAAAAATGGCTCAGTTTTAAGTTTTAAATGCGATATGACTTCAGGTTTACGGGAATAGTCATCAATCATCATTTTCTTCTCTAGAATTACCAAATTTTTTTTTTTTTGTCCATAATTTTTTCGAATCAAAAACAAAATAAAATAAAATTATCATTCATTTAAACTGCAAAATTTTCCTTCCTTTTGTGCACCCAAAAAATAAATCTTAAAGTTATGAATTAACCCAAAGTCATAAATTATCATAACTTAAAAGTCCTAATAGACCAATAAAAATTACAAACGATGGGCATACATGTTGTTATTTCCACCTAACCTTGTTCCACCTTTTCCTTTTCCATCTATTTGGTCCCCTCTCCACCTCTTAGCTTTCTTCAACCCTACACGTTTTTTTTTCCCCAACAAAATCAACCTTACAAGTTGGCCCCGTATCGAACAATATATTGTTCTTTTCTCTTTCGGAGACCAAGCGACGAGCCTTCCATGGTCAGTGGCTCAAGTTGAATTTAGTGACATTTAAGAAAGACCATGTTACTGTAGAAAACAACGAGTAATATTGTAAAGTTACGTTTTACCAATTTCTCATAATGCTTATTTTATGGATCCCTATATATATATATATATTTTTAATAAACTATAAAGGATGCCAGACTTTTGGCCCATAATATTTTCGTGTGCTCGGGGTTTATAATACCATGTTTAACGTAAATTATCTTTTCCCAAGTAGAGTTGAGCTAGTGATCTTGAACACTCATTCTCAAAACTACTAGATCCCGCCCATTAGATTAAATCCTTATATATTGCATGTCACCTTTTATTTATTTATTACAAAATATTTAGTACTTAAAAAAATAATACAAAAAAATAAAAAAATAATTAAAAAAAATACATATATAAGATTAAAATAGAGAGAATATCATGTAATATTCTCGTTGTAACTATCATGCATTGATTATATATATATATATATATATATATAAAATATACCTCAATTAATTTGATATGTACACCGAACTAATTTGTCTCGACTGTTATCAAAATAAAATAAAAACATAATATATATATAAGAAAAATACTGGAGTAAGGTGTTGAATTTTAGTAAACAAACGATTGTAGAATATATAAATTGAGTAGAGCTTGAATTATTAGGTGGAAAAACAGAAAATGATGTGAAATATTTTTTATTTTACTTTTGTCAATATTAAGACACAACTAGCCAGTTCATTAGCCAAATCCCTACAAATTTAGAGAGCAGGACTCGACTTTGGGTGATGGTGCCTATTCTTAGTAGACTTATCATTTATCATAGTCACTTCACAATGACGTGGTGGTGTCTGTTCTTAGTAGACTTATCATTTATCACGGTCACTTCACAATGATGTGGAATGTTAAAAATAAGAAGTATGGTGTTGAATGGAAAAATCATTGTGGATAATGTAAGAGTATCTCTATCGTCCATATCTAACTCGGTATCTTAGCAATAAAAATTGAAAAACAAAAAAAAAAAAGTTAAGGAGAGTGAGAGAAACGGTATTTCATTTGAGATACTACCAAAACTCCTTTAGATACTTTGCTCAAAGTTGTTAACTTATGAATGTGACTAAGCTTTAACAAAAATAAAAAAATTAGTTATATAAAAATTTATATTAAAATATTAATATAAAATTTGTGAGAACCTTGTTTTAAGAAACCCAACCGATAAAGATACTCTAATAAACTAACAATGAAATTGAAAATTAAAGCATAAATAATAAGTATATTAGTATACATCATATTTTCACGCAGTTTAATTTGACCTTAAAAAAAAAAGAGAAGATAATAGTATACATCATTTTTCACGACTCTTGTTCAAAATTTATTAGATTACAAGTTTACTATCCATGTTAGAATTAGAAATACTATATCCATAGTGATTTGCCTGATTTCCACCCATAATTTGACTACCTACACATTTATTATATATAATAGCTAGTGAAGCATTTAGCTTATGTTTTACTATTTTCTAAATTCTAGTTGCCATTATTGATATTTTGCATTGGAGAATAAATATGTTGACCGATTCTTTCACTAAAGTCTCCATTACATTTTCACTAAAGTCTCCATCACATTAGTTGTATAAATGATGTAATATTATATAATACAAGGTTTTAGTGGTGCATAGTTTCGGAAGAGATTCGACTCATCTCTCTGCTTCACCATAGGTGATGCTTCGACATTTGAGCCAACAACCAATAGCATTAGATTCTCCATATTTTCTGTACGTACAAATATACAATAAACTAACTAGTGAGTACTACCGAGTAGTGACTAAGAACCATTAATTTATTAACAAATTTATAATGACCTTCTCATAAAACTCTATCTTAAACTTCTTATGGATGCTCTAATAGCTTACTGTTCGAGTTGTTGTAAACCGTGTATGTTCCTCTCCTTCTCAAGATTTCCTATTTTTGCATTGAAACTATCACTCATGAACCACGCTCCATCTCTTTGAGTACGTACACGAGATGTCGAGATCAATATTTTAAACAAATTCTCTTTCCACAACAGGAATTCTATAATGACGCAGTCGGAATCTCTAGGAATAGCAAACACTATGCCTAGATAGAAATCAAGTTCGCTAGCGACGAACTTAATGATAAAACTCTGGAATCCACCAGAAAAGGGTCTGGAATCCACCAGGAAAAGAGAAAGCTCTCTGTTCTTATTAATTAGAATCAAAAAAAACATCCCCGGTAAATAACCTAGGATCTCTATATATATAGAGAATAAAACCAAAACATAAAATAGAAAACCCTTAAACAAAATAGAAAACGTGAAATAAGTAAATATTAAAAGAAAAGGTAAATTCCCTAAATTTCTCCTACATCAGTCTCCTCCACTTCTGAAGAACTTGTCCTCAATGTCTCTTAGACTTTTATATACTCACTCCGTTTCATAATATAAGGCGTTTTGGATAAAGTTTTTTGTTTCACAATATAAATCGTTTATTAGTTAGAATCTCTGGAAGGTCCTCTGGGATTGTTGTCTTCTTCTTAACAACACTTATCAACCCATTAGTTTTTTTGAAATTGGCATGCTTTTACTTAAAAAGACTTATATTATGAAACGGAAGAAGTATTATTGTTTTAGGCTTCATAACTTCATCTCATTTTCAATGTAAAATTTACTGCAAAACAAATGTTACACTAATTTTTTCGTTATTCAACAACATTATTTTATAATGGCATATCAACAATACTAATACAAACCACTAGTTTCTATTATGTTGGTTGGTTTTGTCGGGTTACTTGCGGTACCTCACGTAGCAGCTCTTTCAGTGTCCATATTTCTCGTCCGCAATAGCATATTGGGTTATCTTCAGCAAATTTTTGGGTCAAGCCCATTCTTGTTTTGAAACGAATTGATTTGACACTACTAGTCTTCGGTTCTTCTTCAAATGTATTTTTGTGAAGTTTGTTGGTTGTGCCAAAAATGTTGGGACATGTAAAATATTTTCACAAATTTTTAGTTATATATTTCTATTTGATTAATGTGACAGTAACATGTTTTACACATCAATAATCTGTTACGTCTCCTGGTTCTTTTTTGTTTACACTATGCTTAAAAGTTAAAATTAATATATATTTGACATATACAAAAGTAAAGTATTATTATTGAAGTAAAAAAAAAAGGTTTATTATAGCATAACGAAATATTTTTGAATATATTTGAATTTGGTTTATTAACATTTCTGGATCCGCCACCGTCGAATTAATCTCCGAAAAGCTTTGTGGAAAGATGTCGATGGGAAGCGACACGACGTGGGTTGGGAAGAAACCGATCAGGCGCATCGGCGGATTGTCTGATGCTCTCTCTATCGCCTCCGATCTTGGTTTCGCCGTCGCTCCTCCTCCGTCGCAGGTAACTTACCAATCTCATCTCAATCGGAATTTCGTTTCCGGTTTAGCTGAGTATAGTGTATGCTCTGGGTTTTGCTATTAGATTGACTTTGCAGAACAATGCGTATGAGATCTGTAATTTGAAGGAGATTATGTTTCTGAGGAGTGAGGAATTTTAGCTGTGAGCTTTGCGAATCTCTGGAACATATGTTATGATTAGATCTTTGATCTCTTTGGCTTTAATATATTGAATCTGAGAAATTTTGCCTGAATTAGAGAAGATTAATGGTTATTTATCTGTTTAATTAGCTACATTTTGTGAGAATTCGTATTCATATTGAATCGAGATTATGAGCTCAATCATTTTCAATGTAGGAAGAATTACAAAGCTTGGCGTCTTCAAATGGGGAAAGAGGTGACGATTTGATAAGGGTATTGAGAGAGTTATCTGCTGTTCAAAGGAAAATTGCAGACTTGCAGGTCGAGCTTCAAGGGAGGAAGGTATCTTTTTCAGGGTTTTGTTTCTCTTTTAAAGTTAAATTAAGATATGTGCATTGCCTGAAGCTGTATGATAACTTATTGGTATATCTGTTACTAGTTTCGTTAGCTGCTTTGTATATAACTTTTCTTGTTGACGAATTTCAGGATGATAAAAATGTGGCGCATTTGACTCATGTGAGTGAAATGCAAAAGAAAATCGAGACTTTGTCAAGGATTACTAAGATATTGAAAGATGTTATACAAAACAAGGTAGATAATTTCTCCTTTTTACTTGCCTCTAACACTCATTTTTTTCTGTTCTTTCTGGAATAAGGTTTATGTATCTTTCGAGTTCGTTTATCTATCTTTTCTTCCTTTAAGCCATATCCCTCTTGTTCAGTACCTACTCTATCGTTTTGAAAATTGAGAAACTTGCTTAAGATGTTTTGGAAACATTTGCTTCTGAGGATGTCTTAAGACTGCAAATTGTCTTTGATTCAATTCGTGAACCACTTGTTGAAGTCTATTATATCACTTGTCTGTTCATATAACATGATCGCATCATTGCTCGTCTCCAACAACCTTATTCGCTAGATTGCATTCCAGTTGAAGCAGAATATCAGGTGATTCATGCCATTTTATACTATTTGCAACTTTGAGGACCAACTAAACCGTATTGCTCTAGTTATCCTAAACTTGATTATTATCTGAAGTTGCACAACTGGAAAACGAAGATGCTATGTTTAATGGCTTTGTTCTGCGTTGTCTTTCAGAAACAATTCTCAGAGTTGCTAATGAAAGCCGCCAGTGATTATGGCGCCTTAACAGCATCAGTGTCTGATTTTCAGTGGAGCCAAAACTTTAAAGAACCTCCTTCAGTCTGGGGGGTATGATTTTACTCTCTTTTATATGCATCTTGTTTTTTGTTTTCCATTTACATCATTCAGACATAACTCCACATGTTTAGTTGCATACATTGAATTACTCATCTCAGTTCGAATCTAAGAAATTGTTCATAGTGTTGTAATAGGTTACACTACGACATGCTATTGCGTAAACTGTATATAGCTCATAGATTACATTGCAGAAGGATCAGTTGTGTCATCAGGGCCTTGAATTAGATTTCTATGTTTTTAAACTCTTTGCATCAAGAGAGAAAGAGATTGCTACTTTTATGTAATGTGTTGCATAACAGTTGATTTCGGTTTTACTTGCCATAATCTCAATCTCTTTACTTTTTTGTTTTCCCAAAAAATCATAGGAAATGCTGCGCCCAATACCGGTGGCGCTAGCTTCATGTACGAGATTCTTTGAGGCCATGTCTGCGATGAGAGAATCGTTCGCGACTCTTCAAAAACTTCGAGTTGGTAACTCTGTGGTTTCTGTACCAACAACACCAGGAGGTAACGAAATGACACATAGAGACTTAGATTGTATGACTCCACCTCAAGGGAGAACAGAGTCAAGCTTCGACGACTTAGCTGTTCATAACACAAGGAGACAAAACAATGATCAAAATGAAGAAGAAGAAGAAGAAGAAGATGGTAATAACAATTCGAACCGGAGAATATCTTGGCCTCCTTCTGTAAAAAAGAGTAGCGTTTAAACAGTTGCTTTTGTTATTTGCTTGATCTGTTTAATATCGATCGTGTTTTGTTTCATCAGCGTTAATGTCCTTTATGGATTTACTTATTTCTATTTGAAATCTTTGAGTGAAACTTAAACAGTGCATATTTTGTTAACACTGGTTTTCATGGTCCATATGGCTATTATACAAAATTAAAATATTTCATAGATGTGGGAATTGTTTTAGTCGAGAAATCTAAAGATATTTAAAGATAGGTCTATGAATTTAAGCTAACTTTAATTGAGAACCGCTGCACCTAATCATATTTTAGCAACCTAGTTACATAGCCCGGTCTGCACCTAATCGTATCCGAACACCCAGCCTAGTCATTTGTGTATACAAAAACTTTAGGCCAAACGGAATCTTTAGGAGAGTAAGATACATAAAAATTAAAATACAAAAAAAACGAAAGAAAAAAAAATACATAAAAACTAAAATACAAAAAAAACGAAAGAAAAAAAAAATACATAAAATTGTGGAAGCCCCTTTGGCCCATTGGTTGATCAAGGGTTATTTAATGCTTCTACACCCAGAGGTCTGGGGTTCGAGTCCCAGATACTGCGATTTATTAATATATTTGCAGATTATTGGAGGCAAGTGTGCATGAGATCTCCAGCGATGTACAATTATAGCTGTTCGCCAGGATTCTACGCAGAGAATGAAGTGTCCATCAAGAGTATGAAAAAGGAAGGTGAATGAGGTGAGCATGAAAAAGGAAGGTGAAGGAAGTGACGTCTGTCGTGGATCTAATAAGAGTCGGAAGGAATTGTCAGTTGTAGAATCGTCTATATAACAGTTATCATAATTTGCAATAAATAATAAATCTAGATGAAAAAGAAAATACATAAAATACCTCTTATGATTAACTATGCAAATTTTCATAAAAAGGAAACACACATTTTTAGTTGTTATATGGTATAATGCATCTAACGTGAAAAATTGCAATAATGCATCCATCATATATATATAGGTTTATATAGATTAATTGAATGACATCACTTGCGTTGGTTTCTCAATAATTACGTAGATCATAAAGCGGCGTTAAGGACCCACCCACGAGCTCTATCTATATTTCCGTGGTTTTTGTATTCGAAACAGAATCGATCACATACGTCCAAATTTTGATTTGGTCTTGGCCCACTTCTTATCCTCACGCGCCAGAACGCGTGTCCTTTAAAATAACTCTCATAAAACCCAAATATCAGACCAACCCTCTGGTTTTATTCGGTTTAGCGGTTTATACTTGGTCAAAAGCATATGCCATTAGACATTTTCCAGAAACAAAAAAATATTTTGTTTTTTTTACATTACTTTTCTTCCCATTCAATTCTCATTTTTCGATAATATATTATTTCTGAGATACGTGCAACTAAATTAAACGAATAAATTATTATCTGCAAGCAATTTATGTACCGACGTAGGCGATGAATATTCGTGTTTTTCGCGACTTTAAATGTCGATGATTCACTTTTCAAAGCACTACTACTTAAATGTCATTTCATTGTCCATGCGTCCAATTACATATTTCCATGTCTTAAATTCTCGATTTATTTGGAACGTGTTTTTAGTCAAGTGGTTAAATTTGACTCCGCCTTCCCCACCGGAGTTCGACTCCAGTAAGTCGCGTTACCCCGCGTACTAGGAATTGGCTATGGATCGGACCTTGTCGATCCAAAGATGTCAAAAAAAAAAAATCTCGATTTATTGCTTCACTTTTTTTTTTTTTTTTAATTTGCCAACAATTTATTTATTTCTTGTTTCATTTATGTTAAGACATTTGACAATAATAATACATAGAGTACAACAATAGAATCGCATCTACAAAACATATTCTATACAACAAAAAGATTCATATATCTAACTCTAACAGTTTAAAATATATTTCGACACTCATGCAAAATTTTATTCATTTACCGATATTTACAATTCTTCATGATGCAAGAAAACCATTTATTGCTCATTTAATAAAGTTCGATTATTATTATGCGGCTTTTCTGAGAGAAAACAAATCTCAAAGGACCATTATGTAATTTAAAGAAAATAGAAAACTACACGCGCTTGTCAAAGAAGGACCTTATCCCACGCGTTTATATATCTTCCATAAGCTTCTCTTCTTCGTCTCTCTCTCTCTTCAACGTGCTCCTCCGGTGAATGAAGATTAAAAACCGACGAGACCCTGGTGCCATTACAACACAACAATCTCCATTCTCCGTCTTCCTCGGCTTCCAAATTTACCATTTTACCCTTCTCTTTCCCTGAGACTTCTTCTTTGGAAATATTCTTCTCTTCTTCTTCCATTCCAAGTAAACCCAAATTCTCTCTCTCTCTCTCCCTCCAATTTCCCTTCTTTCTTTGGACTACACCTAATGATGCCCACCAAATGTCTGCCCTTGTGGATCTTATCGATTTTTATGGTTGGAAAGAGGTGATATCAGTTTACTCAGATGATGAGCTCGGAAGAAATGGAGTTTCTGCTCTAGATGATGAACTGTACAAGAAAAGATCCAGAATTTCCTATAAAGTGCCGCTCTCAGTGCATTCTGATGAAAAAGTCCTTACTGATGCTTTGAACAAATCCAAGTCCATCGGTCCTCGGGTCCAGACCCATTGTTCAGAATTTTTGATATAGCGCAAAAGCTGCAGATGATGACCCATGAATACGTGTGGCTCGCCACAGACTGGCTCTCAGTTACTTTAGATTCTTCTTTAAGTGACAAAGGTGCTTTAAAACGTCTTGAAGGAGTAGTGGGGCTTCGTCAACACATCCCAGAATCCGCAAAGGTGCAAAATTTCACACAGAAACTGCAGAGCAAGAGATCAATGAATGCCTACGCATTCCATGCCTATGATACAGTGTGGATGATTGCATATGGCATCGACAAGTTGCTGAATGAAGGAATCAACATAACGTTTTCTTGCTTTTCCCTTTGTTTCAGGTATATGATGCAGCTGTTGGGGATATTGCAATAGTCCCAAGCCGGTCCAAATTAGTGGATTTCTCGCAGCCATATGCTTCCACAGGCCTTGTGGTGGTGATTCCAGATAACGATGACAATGCAACTTGGATCTTTCTGAGACCCTTCACCATCCGGTTATGGTGTGTTGTTCTAGTTTCATTCTTGGTTATTGCCGTAGTCATCTGGATCCTCGAACATCGCATCAATGAAGATTTCAGAGGGTCACCCGGAAGACAATTGACCACAATGATCTTGTAAGTTCAGCTCGTAATAGTCCGAACTTGATGGTTCATTCTTGGAGTTTATCTGCCACATCCAGTCTGATTTGTGCTTGCAGATTCAGCTTCTCAACTCTTTTCAAGAGAAACCGTGAGTAGCCTTAATCTCATCCATCTTTCTTTAAGAAGCATCAAGCAAGAGATAAAAACAAGTTTAGAGTTACATTTAAGACTCGATCTGTCTGATACATATAGAACTCTGTATTGATTTTTCTATCAACTCATATCAGCGATCTTTCTGTTTTATCCTGTCATGTCAACAGAGGAAGATACGATAAGCAATCTAGCAAGACTAGTGATGATTGTATGGCTCTTCCTATGGATGGTTCTAACTGCGAGCTACACAGCGAACCTCACCTCAATCCTCACAGTTCAACAGCTTCCTTCTGCCATTACCGGCATCGACAGCTTGCGGGCAAGTGAATTGCCTATCGGGTACCAGGCTGGGACATTCACATTAGAGTATTTAACCTACAGTCTTGGCATGGCTCGCTCTAGGCTAGTCCCACTTGACTCGACGGTAGAGTATGAAAAGGCTCTAAAGCTAGGACCAACCAACTGGGGAGGTGTGGCTGCTATTGTCGACGAACTCCCTTACATCGAACTGTTTCTAGCAGAACGAACAGGCTTCAAGATTGTCGGAGAGCCCTTTATGCACCGTGGTTGGGGATTTGTAAGTATGTTTTTCACGTTTCTCTTAATCAGAAATTAGTCACAAAAAGGTTTGAACTTGTTTTTTCGTTTAACAGGCGTTTAAGAGAGATTCTCCACTGGCTATAGACATGTCAACAGCTATCTTGAAACTCTCTGAGGCCAGGAAATTGCAAGAGATTCGAAAGAAATGGTTATGCAAGAAGAATTGCGCAGAGAAATCAAATTGGAACCCAGAGCCAAACCAGCTTCATCTCAAGAGCTTCAAAGGGTTGTACCTAGTCTGCATTGCAATCACAGTCTCTGCGTTTATAGTGTTTGTTCTCAGGATGATACGCCAATTTGTGTGTCAAGAAACTCTTGATAGTGTAATCTGAATTTCTTAAGAATCAAGCAATACAGAGTATAGCCTTATATATTGGCTGAGAACACAAGTATGGTGTTCGACCTAATTAGCTTGTAAACCGACAATAATCACGTGAAGGGCTAAGCCCATATAGCATATAGCCCAATACCCCCCCCCCCCCCTCAAGGTGGAGTGAGGTGGAGTGTGGAGGTTACAAACACCCAACTTGACAAGAAAGTCTTCGAATTGTTGACGTCCCAAAGCCTTTGTCATGATGTCCGCGAGTTGACTCTTTGTGTTGACGTGTTTAGTAGCTATGACACCACGAATAATTTCATCTCTTACGAAATGAACATCACGACGGACATGTTTCGTTCGAGCATGAAACACCGGATTAGCAGCAAGCATAATCGCGGACAAACTGTCGGAGTGTAGAGTAATAGGGGCAGTAACCGCAATGCCAAGCGTTGGCAATAACTCACGAAGCCATAATAGTTCACTCACGGTATCGGCCATTGCGCGATATTCAGCTTCAGCCGAAGATCGAGACACCACATCATGCTTTCGTGTTTTCCAAGACAATGGTGAGTCACCAAGTTGTATGAACCATCCAGTAAGAGAACGAGTTGTTAGAGGACAAGCACCCTGATCCGAATCACACCAAGCAGTCAAGGTCAAAGGCGTGTTAGCTCGTAATAGAATACCTTGGCCAGGACTATTTTTTAAATAGCGGACTACACGAAGAGCAGCATTCCAATGAGCGTGTTGTGGCTCGTTCATGAATTGAGACAAAGTGTGAATCGCGTATGAGAGCTCTGGTCGTGTGTTCCCTAAGTATATAAGGCGACCCACAAGACGTCTATATCGAGTAGGATCGGGAAAAGCACCATCCTTAGCAAGAGACAACTTGTGATTTTGTTCTAATGGAAACGTAACGTAATTGGCTTTACTCCCATAAGACCTGCTTCGGCAATGATCTCAAGAGCATATTTGCGTTGGCACAAGTAAATCCCAGCTGGACTACGAGCCACCTCAATGCCTAAGAAATAACACAAAATTCCCAGATTTTTCATGTGAAAACAAGTACTCAAATAATGCTTGAATTCATTGACAATGTGGATTGAGCTGCCCGTGATGATTAAATCATCGACGTAAACCAGAACGTGTAGTCTCGTATCACCTTTCGCTAGAATAAATAAGGAATAGTCAGAGACGTCTTGTTCAAAGCCGTACGTTTTCATAGTAGAACCAAGTTTCGCGAACCAGCATCTAGGAGCCTGTTTCAAGCCATAGAGAGACTTGTGTTTGCGGCAAACTTTAGTGTCATCATCCGTGCGAAAACCAGGAGGAAACTTCATGTAGACCTCCTCATTGAGATCACCGTGAAGAAACGCATTGTAAACATCCATTTGGTGAACTTCCCAATCTAAAGACGCAGCTTGTTGAAGGAATGCGCGAACTGTGATCATCTTAGCTACCGGCGCAAAAGTTTTAGCATAATCAATGCCTTCCTTTTGATTGTTGCCAAGAACCACAAGGCGAGCTTTGTGGCGTTCAAGAGTGCCATCCGCATTGAATTTTAGGCGGAAGACCCATTTGCAACCAATGGGTTTCTTACCTTTTGGAAGGTCTTCAACAGTCCAAGTACCGTTCTCTTCCAAAGCTTCGATTTCGTCTTTGACTGCATACCGCCAGTTTTCATCAATAACAGCCTCTTGATAGTTTCTAGGTTCATTCCCTGAGGTGATAGCTAACAAATAAGCTCGATATATGTCAGAGAATTGTTAGCTAGAAACAAAATTGTCAATCGGGTAAGGAGTTGCAGATGGTGACAGAGTGTAAATGAGAGAAGTGTCGTTTCAGGTGATTGGACTTTAGACGGGCTGGGTTTGAGTCTAAGGGAATGGGCCGGTAAAGGCCCAATCGGAGTCTGCTGTTGACTTGAGCCCAAGAGAAAGAAACGGCAATGTGAGGGATCGTTTTGGTGCAGAGGCAGGATGTGTGTAGTACTGTTTTGTCTCCTAGCACCTGCAGAGAATGGCTTGGCACAGATTAAAAGGAAAGCAGCATTCAGCTTGCAGGTTAAGCAAGTTTTGTATTCATCTGAGAGAGAGAGTTCTAGAGAGAGTTTGAGAGAAAACAGGGGTTGAGGGTTTTCACTTATCTTCTTGTTCTTCTTGGTAAAAACATCTAGAGTGGATTCTTGGGTGAGGGTGAGAGACTTGTGAGCTAAGTGTGAGGTTGTAACATCCGGATACTGATCTTAGTGCCTTGAGAGTTGGTTGAGACTCTCCGAGACGTACCATGACTGATTTGGTCATGGGAACTCGTTAAATCTTGCGTCTCTGTTTTCTTTCCTGCAACAAACATCAACAAACTCAAAAGACTGAATCTTTAGCAACCTGAGATGATAACTTGGTAAAGAAACTAACAGTGGTATCAGAGCACAGGTTACCAGAGACTCAGGAAGGTAATAAAGTTTCAATCTTTGAAAGCTTTAAGATATTCTAAAGGTGTTATATGTTGAATAGAAGAAAGGTACCACCTTTAAGGCTCATTTCTTCACTTTGTTGTGTTTTGTGAGTCTTTGAGGCTATTTCTAAGGTTCTTCAGAGGACTAAAGTAGAAAAGGTGTGAGCTTTGGTGATTTTATCTGAAAAGGTGGGATCTTTGATGTCGGATTCAGAAGTAAAGACGCTGGAACCTACCAAAGGTCGGTTTGAGGTTGATAAGTTTGATGGTGATGGTGACTTTACTCTCTGGAAGCACAAAATGGTTGGTCAGCTGGAGATTCTGGGTTTCAGTGCTCTGCTCAAACCAAAGGAACCTGTTAAAGAGGGAGAGAAGCCAGATCCATTATGGAAAGAGAAAGATCAAAGGGTTAGAAACCTCCTGGGGCATGCTTTGACAGACCCAGTTCTGAGGAAGGTGATGACAGAGCCTACTGCATATGATATGTGGAAAGCTCTAGAGAATGAGTACCAAGCACAGACCTTGCCAAATCGCTTTTACTTGAAGCAAAGGTTCTTCAGCTTCAAGATGGAGGAGGATCAGAGTCTAGACAAGAATCTGGACAACTTTAACAAACTGGTGTTAGATCTCTCTAGTATGAATGCTGAAATGAGAGAAGAGGACAAGGCTGCAGTACTCATGAACAGCTTACCTAAAAAGTATGATCACCTGGTTCATACTCTGAAGTACAGCAGTACCAAAGATACCATCACCACCAAGGAGATAATCAGATCTGCTTACTTTATTGAATTGGAGCTCAAGCAGAAGGGACTGATATCAGTAAAGCCTGCTGATGAGGGGTTGCTGGTACAGGCAAGAGGAAGATCAGAGAAGAGGGGTCAGTCAAAGGGCAAATCCAGTAGAAGCAAATCTAAACCAAAGAAGAAGAGAGCTTGTTGGATTTGTGGAAGTGAAGAACACTTAAAGAAAGATTGTCCCAAGAAATACCAGGCTGGAACAAGTCAAAAGGGAGAAGCCAGTCTAGCTCAAGCTATGGATGCAGAACCAATGATGCTCACTGTATCTCATGGAGGCTCGAGGGAAGGCTGGGTACTAGATTCTGGCTGCTCTTACCACATGACAATGAACAAAGATCTGATGTTTGATGTGGAAGAAGTTGATGGGGGAAGAATTCTCATGGGAAATGACACATTCTGTGAAATCTCTACAATAGGGAAGATCAGATTTGTCAATTATGATGGAAGTGAAGTCATTCTATCTAATGTGAGATACTCAAAAACAGCTAGAAGGAATCTTATCTCTTTGGGACAATTGGAAACACTTGGCTACAGCTTTGGGTCAAAGGACTACAGGCTGCGAGTGTTCAAAGGAGACAGAGAGGTGCTAGCAGGAGACTACAAGGGCACTCTCTACATCCTTGATGGGGAAGCTAGGCTGGCGCAGGCAAATGCAGCAGTAAGCACACCTGAAGGCATACAGTTGTGGCATAGCAGACTAGGCCACATGAGTGCCAAGAACCTGAAAATCATGGTTCAGAAGAAGTTACTTAATGGGGATGGCATTTCAGAGTTGAAAATGTGTGAACACTTCATATATGGGAAATCTCATAAAACCCCATTCAAGACAGGAAAACATACCTCTCAGGAAGTTCTAGAGTATGTTCATTCAGATCTTTGGGGTTCTCCAAATGTGACTTTGAGCTTGAGTAAATGTCAATACTACATTTCCTTTGTAGATGACTTCTCTAGAAAGGTCTGGATCTACTTCTTAAAGACGAAAGATGAAGCCTTTGCAAAGTTTGCTGAATGGCTTGCATTAGTTGAAAATCAGAGTGGGAAGAAGCTGAAAATTCTAAGAACAGACAATGGATTAGAATACTGCAATAAAACCTTTGATGACTATTGCAAAGAAAGGGGGATTATGAGGCACAGGACATGTCCTTATACTCCACAGCAAAATGGAGTTGCAGAGAGGCTGAATAGGATCATTCTTGAGAAAGTAAGAAGCTTGCTGAGTGAAACTGGTTTGGGAGAAAGATTCTGGGCAGAAGCTTCATCTACTGTTGTGTATATCATAAACAGGACTCCATCAGCTCCGTTGGACTTAAAGGTACCTGAACAAGTTTACACAGGAAGAGAACCTGAGTACAGTCACATGAAGAGGTTTGGTTGCCTTGCTTACTATCATGTTGAGCAGGGTAAACTTAAACCAAGAGCAAAGAAGGGAGTGTTTATGGGGTATCCACAAGGAGTTAAGGGTTACAGAATTTGGAGTATTGAGGATAAGAAATGCATTGTGAGTCGTGATGTAACATTCAATGAAGACATTCTATACAGAGATATAGAGAAAATGTCTGAAACAGAGAAAGAGGTATCTAAGAAGAAGGGAAAGAGTGTAACCTTTGAGCTGCAAACAGAGGTTACAGAAGCTGCAGATGGAGCCACATTAGAAGGAGGAGAATCCTCTGGGGAATCTCCTCAAGAACAGGAAATTCCATCAGTGGTAACTGAAGATGGAGCCACTGAAGATGGAGCCATGGTAGATCCTGAAATAATAGAAGAAGAAGAAGATACATCAGAGGATGGATCTGGACAGGATCTTGACACTTATCTGCTA